AAGAGTAATCATACATATGTGAAAAAGAAAACGGTGTCTCGTTTCGATATCGATTTGATTTTCAGAGTCAACCATCAAAGCTAAAATAACCGACATACTTCCTCTTAAACCGCTCCAGATCAGAACTATTTGTTCTTTCAAAGATAGACGCACACCACTCCAGCGTATAAATGGATGGAGTACAATGACGGATAATAGACGTCCAAGATGAAGAGCAATATACAATAGAATAGAAAATCCAAAATCACGTGCGACAATAGTTGTTTTCGTGTCGATTAGTGAGTGAGCCAAAATAATACCAGTAATGATAAAAATGAGAATATTTGCAAAATCAGTAATGATGCGCCAAGTATTGGCCATTGGAACTTGCACTTGACTACTGATACAATATTTATATTTGGCCATGAAAAGTCCCATTGCCACAAGTGCCAAGACAGCTGAAACCTCGAGTTCAACATCGGCAACGTAAAAAATCAAATAGGCAAGACCAAAAGTCGATATAATTTCAACTTCAAGTTTATTATGGGCCATATTCAGAGCGATTACAGCAATGACGCCACAGGCAATGCCAAAAACTGGACCGCCTAGAATGTCAACAGACAGTTTCTGAACAATGTCATCACAAAGAACGATTATGATCAAACTGTACTAACCGATAGTGAACTTGAAGATATCAATAATAATTTTTTTGGCACCATCACTTTTACCGACGACAATATCTCGAAAAATCATAAAGATGACAAAAGCAGAACCATCATTCAATAATGATTCAAGGTCGATCAATGCTGCTAATGATTTACTCGCTCCTGATTCGTGTAGTAATGCCACAACAACAACGGGATCTGTTGCACTCAGAATACTTCCAAACATTATACTAAGTAGCCAAGACCAATGATAAGGAAATATGTAGGTGGCAAACACTGCAACAATAGTAATAGAAATGAGCACACCGGGGCCAGCGAGAAGTATAGCAGATATTATTTGTGGTCGAATAACATGAAAACGGCTGTTAAAAGCAGAATCAAATATCAGCAACGGAAAAAAAATATAATAAATAAGATGAGGATTAATTTCTCTCAATTCTTTTTCACCAAGTAAAAAATCATTGCTCATACCATAAGTATGGGAGATAATCATTCCGACAGTGAAGCCAAAAATTAGTACGATCACTGTGAATGGAGCAGGGAATTTATTTTTCAATACTTGCGAAAGTATTAATTTGCATATGCACCCAGCCAAGACAGCAAACGATAAAAATAAAATCACTGTACCAATCGCATGTCCTCCTGCATCGTGAGAACCCATAGTGGCATTACCTATTGCAGTCATCTACAAATGAATAACAGCTCGATCTTCGAAAATGATTCACCTCTGAATTCAGCTTGTATACGATCTAGTTTCAAAAAGCATCCAAACGCGTGCCGAGAAAAAAACGCATCTGGACACGTTCCAAACCAAATTCTTACAATTTGAAAAATTAAATTAAATCCATTTCATATTCAACCTGAGGTGCCACCAAAAATATATCATGATGGTCTTAACCTATACTGACAAGCATATTGAATATTTACTTTAACGGTCAAAGTCAGATTTCTTGTACGTGGAAAACTACAAAAGTTTTCCGCTCGGCTCTTCTAAAAGCCTCAGTTTGAGCTCAACTAGTCGGTTATAATGCGTAGACACATTTAGGATTATGTGAAAAACTTCAGGCTTATAAGTCTTGTACTTTGCTGTGGTTCGCCATTTCTTTTACGCTAGGAGTATGCAAATTGCTAACGGAGGACACATAATAAATGGGGGAACTTTGAATTTCAGTTTTTCATCCCTAAATACATTTTATTAAAAAAAAATAAAAAATTCTTAGGATCAAAATATAATATGTAAAGTTCTGTCATTTATCATGAGCCACCCGTTATGTAGCGTATAGAAAAAAGACATTTTGTTAGCGTAAAAGATATGATAGACCAAAGGAAAGCACAAGACTTATAAATCTGAAATGTTGCGCATAATCCTATATATTTCTAAGCATTATAACAGAAAACTTGAATTCAAACTGAGGCTTTTAAAAGAACCAGGTGAAAAAGTTTTTGTACTGCCCTGTATACATTAAAATCGGTGACATTGATTGAGCACGTGTTCTGTCACATTGGTCGTCCCTATCGTACAATGGCTCCTATGTAAAAACACTTATGATATAGAAGTAATCTCGTACTCAACGGGTTAGTAAGAATGTTGGTCAAGCCTATACTGAAGAAATTTTTAATTTCAAGATTAATCGAATCTTACTCTCATACACAGTTGTTACTGACGGATTAGAAAAAAAATACTTTAAAAAAAATTCGAAATGTATAGATAAAACTTTACTTTCCCAAATAAGTAGCTTTTCCGATTGCTTACATCTTCGGAGTTTTTTTCAAAATGTCTTGCTAATAATGTCGTCTAAAAGAAATTAAAACATGCATACTCGTGATCAGTACATCAAACTCTATTAAACGATATAAAAATAACTTCTTTTGAAAATCTTCACTATTGTGCATCGCGACATGTATTGATTTGGCGAAACGAAAAATGTTGAAACAACTGCATGCTAATATTTCTTGACAAGTGACATAGAGTGCCACTATTTTTCAAGGTTTTGATATTTTTTCTGTTTCGTCATCTGGTTCTTACGACCGGCACTTTAAACGTCAATATTTTTACGTGATCGAGACTTTTTTCTTCTATGTAAACTGCTCCGACAATTTTTGACAACTTTTTGCTTTTCTTCCTTCTATATAAACTGCTTAGAAACTTTTTTTACATTTTTTCTTCTACATTTGTTCGTTCTGTCAAATCAATACGATTCAGCATCATTCGCATTTTACCTTTCATCTATTACGACAGACTATCACAGTGAAAAAATAACGATGTATACATCTAAACAAAATGTAATGCGAGAGTTGTCCAGCGTGTCTAAGGTGTATGAAATGAGAAAAAAAACCTTGATGCATGTGAAAGACATGTTGAATAACAACAAGCTAGAATATGTTGATGTGTTTTTAATAACAATAATGACTGTTCGTTAATATCGATTGTCGATGATTAACGATAATTGCTATCGAATCTCTGTATTGTGAATCACAGAATTTCTGTCATAGTGTAACTTAGTTATTCCATCTCGATCAAAGTCTACAATTCTGTGGGTGTGTGCCTAAATCAATTCAACAATAGATCAACCTATCTCTTAACGAAGAAGATAAATTAATCTGCTATTTCCAACTTCTGCTATTCAGCAATCAATCAAAGTCGAAAACAAATTTTACGGGAAATTGAAATTCTAAATAATTCGAGTGTGTATGTGTTTGATTAAAAACTTCATATACACCCACACCCACACCTAGAAATATTATCACAATTATAATAATCATGTTCAAAGTATAGTCATTTAACATTAAAGTCAATTATTATGACAATTAGCACGTGATATTTGATCTATATCTACATTCTTTCCCGTCATCAAATTAAGATTATATCTATTTGGATATTAGATTCGATTGAAATCAAATTCAAAACACATGCCTGCTTAATCAACCATCAAGACTTTACTTTGTTCTGGAGTACGATCATGTTATAATTCTTGATCGAACCGGCTATGCACTAAAATTAGTTGTAATATAAATAACAGTATAATCTATATTTACACCTGGAACTTATTGAACACTATTTTATTCTTATATTTTCTATTTCTCTTTTTTTCTACTATTAATCTTGCTTCATTGTTTTCGTTGATATGTGTTTCATTTTCACTTGTACGCCATTCATTTATCTTTCATTTTAATTTTTAATTTTCTGATTGTACTAAATCTACAATACAGAGCCCTGAAGACTGTTTTATCATTAAAATTAACAACACGAAACACGTTGGCGAAATTAAATTCTGTATTTCTTTTAATTCAGGCACATTACAAAAGATAGTATATTTATTTTCGACTTTGATCGATTGCCGAAAAGCAATAGTTGAGAATAGAAGATTAATTTGTCTTCTTCGCTAATAGACAGGCTGACCTGTTTTCTAATTGGTTTACGTGCTACAGTATTTGTAATACAGCGAGTCATGAACATGTCATGGTTGGAAAGTAGGTTCTCTTTTTTTTTTGTTAATTGCTTGTATATACAAGAGAGAAGAAGTACGCGATATTTATTTTCTATTTGCCATTATCATAAGTCTTATTTGTCTTGGGTACTTACTACTTCGCTCTAGACAGAGTTCATTAAGAATTAGATGTAGTCTTCTTATGACACAGAATGAGTTGAGAGGAACAAGAGTAGACCAGCAGGTGGATTCACATCCATCACCTACTATGTGAGTAATATGGATAAAGCACACATTATAAGAATTGATATATCAATAGTGTACTGCCAATAGTCTCTAGTACAAACCACATGAACAGATACTCCACGACGAAATAGTGTTTCGAACAATTTTTATTCAATCGAAGTCAGTTAGTAGTTAAAAAGAGGTGATTATGAAAAGTCAGAAAAAATGTATCATTGTTATTATTCAAGGATTTGCCAATGCTAAAATTTGTGCTGCTGTTAACTCACGAGAGTAAATATAAAATTCATCCAATGCTCCAGTAAATGGACCACCATAACCTGGTGAGCATGAATTTAAACCGGCATATCAATTGTTCAAATATTCAATGATCTAATATATCAAAGAGTTCCAAAATTGAATACTTTTTCGATTAGATATATTTATGAACAGATCTCTTTCCAGCTATAACGATTGTCGCCAGAGCACCTGAAGCAGAAAAGGCTACAGCACCCGATGTTGAATATAAATTACCATTCACATACAAACGAAGACCATTTCTTGAACTGTATGTGTATCCTACGTGAGTCCAACTATTCAATGGAATAACAGGACCACTTGAAACGGTTGGACCGCCATTCCATAAATTGGCCATTATATTGCCATTTGATGTCATTGTCAAAAAATTAACACACCACCCTGCATTGACAAAAAAGATTGTTGATGAAGCATAACTTCCAGTCGGTTTAACCCATAGTGATAGAGTGAATGGATAATTTGATACGCCCAGAAAGTAGAATGATGCATAAGGTACATAAAGATAGGATCCAGAACTGAATTGAAGTGCTTGATTGACTCTCCCTGTGATCGTTGTTACAGTACCCGACGAAGTTAAATTGATACCATTTGGGCCTCCATCAAAAATGGAGCCACCATCGAATGAATAGTAAGCACAAAGAGTAGCGTCATTTAATAGTTCATATTCACTTTTTGCTCTTGGCTCGTATCGCACTTGATCGAGATAACCGTTAAAGTAGTAGTTATTAGGCATTGGATAAGAAACCATGCCAATTGTTGTTGCAGTTGATACACCTTGAAAGGGGGTTGTTGTATGGCTGCCATCGACCACACCATTAAGCCATACTTGCTGAAGTCCAGTACTCAAATCATACAGGCATGCAACATGACTCCATTGATTCATGGTCAATGTTGTCGAGCCTGCTACATCGTTGGCATAGAAACCACAGTATAGCATTACATTTCGAGTAGTGAAATGCAGGCATAAATTAGTAGATGCCGCTTGACACTGACCAAAAATACCAAAATCAGTCGACGCTAAATTGATCGGATAGATCCATGCTTCGATTGTAAAGCTAGTAGAATTAAAAATGACTTGCTTTACAGTGACAGTAACGTATTGAGCAGAAGCCGCAGTAAAACTAATTGCATTACCGTGTCCCAGTACACTAGTAGTATAGGTTGGATTACCACGAGGAACGCCATTATAATTGTTAAACAACTCAAGACAATTGTTGTCAAATAGCCAAAATGCACTCCATTGTGTTTCACCTATCGTTGTTGTTGTTGTAGCTAGAACCACATGAAATATTTTTTATCGATACAAAAGCAAATAATGAATAAAATATTCACTTGTAGTGGTCGTTGTTGTCACTGAAGCTGAAATAAACGAGACTTTGGATATGGATTCGATGAACTTAAGAAACTATATTTACTTGTCGTTGTAGTCGTCGTTGTACTTGTTGTTGAGGTTGTTGTTGTCGTTGTAGTTGTTGTTGTCGTTGTTGTTTTAGTTGTTGTTGTAGTTGTTGTCGTTGTCGTTGTAGTAGTTGTCGTAGTTGTTGTTGTTGTCGTTGTAGTGGTTGTCGTAGTTGTTGTTGTTGTACTTGTAGTGGTTGTTGTAGTTGTTGTTGTCGTTGTCGTCGTAGTGGCTGTAGTTGTAGTTGTTGTAGTTGTTGTAGTAACTGTTGCAGACGTAGAAATTCAGGTAATATATTTTGAATGAAATATCTTTTGAAAAACGTTTCATACTATCTATGGTGTGCTACTCAATTCATATAGCTCATGACGCTTGCCTCTCAATGGAATGATTACTTCGGAGGGCGTTTCCGTTGAAAACACAGACTGTCATTTGAAACATATTCTTTCTTTTAATTAAGTTATAGTTGCATTTGACTACAAGCTTAACATTGAACCAGCTTTGCTTATTTTTCCGATTTTCCTCTAATTCCTTGAAATGACACAATATTACATGGGAAACAAGCCAATTATTTTTGAAAGTTTTGAAGATACAGAGCAACTCAAATTTAATTCGTCTGCTACAATCATATTCATTTTCTACAAGTTAAAACTGTATTTTTTTGAATTCACCAGTCTGTACATTTTTCATATTTATATCAAAAATATTATGATATTTTTTTGTGGATTTTCGCCTATTGAACAGTTCCGTTTCTGGAAACTCGAACAGGTCAGATCTTAGGATCTGCCCGGCTTTACCAGAACATTTTCTGGTAGTCCTACTTCCATCAATGATTAAGACAGTCGTTCTCTATATAGGGACTTGTGTACAAAAGAACACGATGAGTCGATAGAAGTCACAAAGAACGAGACAAATTTATTAGCGACACTTTCTGTTACAACATATTTCCGACACTGAATCTGCGACACATTTTAATTTAGAGTGTAGTAGAAAAACTGTATGAATACCTTTATGAATAACTGCAATTACCCATAAGAATATGATTCCTGATTGAATCTTGTCAAAGATTCATGAATGATATTCGGTTTTTGCGAAGAAACCTAAAATAGTTCTATTGACAAAAAGAGAGCATCTACAACTTATATGCAATAATTCGATATAGGATGTGGGTGTGGGTGTGAGGGTTTGGGAAAGACTAGGTAGATTAAAAGCAAGTGCACCCACACCCATCTCGTGCCAGCAAGGGGGTAAGTGCTGGCACCTGGCACCTGGCACCCTGATACCTCAGCACCTCGACACCTGTTCAGCACTTTCAAGGGGATAAGTGCTGAGCAGTTGCTGAGGTGCTAGGGTGCCAGGTGGCAGCCCTTACCCCCTTGTGTTTTTAATTGCTTTTCATTGTCCACCACGTTGCTCAATAAGCCATATTTCAAGGTGGAAAACTCTGCCTTTATAGAGACTGTTTTCGAAGATTATCTGAGGTGAAAAACGAATGAATTTCAATTCAAAAATTGTCTAGTAAGTCTAATCTGAAATGCTTTTCATTCAAATCATTTTATAAATCTCTATGTTCGAAAAAATTCAAAATAGTTTTTAAAAATTGAAAGAAAAGAAGAACTAAAAAACATTCGTGCAGAGTCACGTAGATGATGATTTAAAAAAACGTGTTACAGACAGGCAGAGAGACAATTTTGGTTTTAATTTCACTTTCCAATTTCTTGACTTTTAAATCGAGGGAAAATGGAAGAGTTATTCATGTTTGAGCCGTCTACAGATCATCGGATTTGTTTTTGAATAAAATTGAAAATCTACATATTTGATTCTGAATCTTGCGAAAGTCGATCGAGCGAGTTAAAATCAGTTTCTTAATTCAGGAATGCTAATCTTTTTGTAGTTAGTCTAGTCTCAAAGTGTCTAGCATATATGCTAACAATATGTATCTATCAGCGATAGAAGATTTTCAATGGGCTTCTTCATCAGTATAATTTCTCTCTAACATACTTGTGCTACTTGTAGCAAGTAGAGCATATGCCACGCAGCCACCTACAATCGCTGCAAAAACTCCGACAATTGCCAGAGCCATGATTAGCCATTTACGTTGTGGACGCCGTGTATTCCTTCACGAATGAATATATCACATTTTATGCAGACATTTTCACATGATTAAAGTAATATTTACTTCTGAGTTGCGACATGACTTGTCGTGCCATTGACATTTAGCACATTTGAAAGATTAGCTGTAATATTTCTTACGGGTGGTTTAAATGTTGCAGAACTCTAAATATTATGAGAATAAGCATGATCAATCTATTCAATGATCGATTTAGAATATGCTTACCATATTCTGGGATGACGTATAGAACCCAGGCCTATATACGACTTGATCAGAGCAAGTCGGCATCTTTGAGTTCTATTCTTCACTCGTGACTATAATACACTACACACGAATGTGCTGACTGTCGTGCAACTAAATAGTGTTAATTGAAACCAAGTAAAACTGGTATGCATGCTATTGCATTTAAATGGATGCTCTCAGAGTAATGCAAAAACACACTGCACATCTCTAATTCACTTTTATTAACCATTCGAAAAATGAACACACACTTGAAAGTATTCTGTTACAACATCGAGAGGCAAGTGGATGTTTCTTTTTGCAAACGAAATGATTCGAACGAAGAAAACGAAAACAGTCGATCCAAAAAAATAAGAAACACTGAAAGAGGCCTGAGAGAGAAAGTACGATCAAGATGTCTGAATAAAAAAGAGCAATCATGACACTTTCAAGTGCATACGAAGACTGATGTTATATTGAGCATGATTTCTCATCATAAAGAGAGCAACCTTCGTGTGCCTGTGACGCGATCAAAACATCGAATTGAAGTGAAAGAAGAGCGGAGTTTTGAACTTTTATTTTTTTAAATCGATTCAAAAACCCTTCTACAATCGACCGAACAACAAAAATGGTGTGGGTGGCAGTGGGGTGTTGAGGTGTGCGCATGAATGTGTGATAAGATAAATATTATCGTACCACGGTAACTATTGTTTCCGTCCTGGAGAGACTTCATCAAATGATATTCTTAATATTATATTTACTAGATAGTAATTCGTATTTAAGGGTGTGGGTGTTTTTGAGTTGTTGAGATATTAGCGCACTCATACCGAAAGTAGACCAGAAAAAAAGAAAAGAATAAGATCATATGTATGATATTTAGATAGAAAAGAAAAAACGTGAAGCACTATGTAACAATATACAAATATAACTCACAGATATTTCCATAGTATATACTTGAAAAGTTTGATATTCGATAAAATGATAAACAATTATAATTAATTTGTATCAAGTATTGTTATCCCTTGAGAGTGTGGGTGGGTTGTGTGGCGTGTCTAGAATTGGCTACGAGATACTCACCCCCACTTCCACCCACCAACAAAAGACAATGAATATTGGTAATCATTTGTTTTTCTGTAACTGGAAAACTGTATTGTTCAAATGTCGTTTCATATTCAGATAGTGCATGCTCGAATACGTATAGTCACGCAGATTATTCTTTGAACTGAAGTGTGAAACAGTTGATAACTGTCAAAAATCATTAACCAGATGGGTGAACCTATAAATTTTCACACTACTGCATATGATTCAAAACAAAGATTATTTGATTACAATAAAGCTGCACATTATGGCATTGCTTTGTTTTGAATTCAACGATTCATCTTGGTCATTTCTCCTGTGATCTTCAATCCGATATATGATGATATTTTCAGTCCCCGTACTCGTTGAATACCCATATGAGTAAAGGATATGTTCAAAAAATTGATCTGATCGACAGAAGACAAGTTAATCTGTGTTTATAGTCTTTGATAGTGAATGGGGAAAAGTTTAAAAAAAGATTCTTTGTAGCTGTTTAACTTATCGTTGGCAAACATCATGAGTACTTTTACAAATAAACAATTTCTTGTCATCGATTGATTTTGACGCTTGTCACATAAATACGTATGAAAATATTTCAACTTCGTTTGTACCATTATACCGTTTCGCATTGTATATGAACTATGATAAGAGTACTGATTCATTTGGTTCGATCACATGCCTTTGGTCGCTAAAAATCAAGGGAGGAAAAAGCGGATCCTGTTGCTCCTAATAAAGGGTATTAGATTGCAAAATAGATTGACTGGAGTGTACGGAAATCTATTCGAAGCTACTTCAATCTACTAAATACGTCGGAGTCTATCACAGTGCACCAAAAACTGATTCGCTTTACAGCAATATTCAAACAATGTAACAAACATAGATCCTACTGGATTAGGGGTGTGCAGCTCGCGGTCATGATTGTTGATAAGCGTGGGCGTTTCTTCTCCAAATAGAATATATAAAAATCAGTAATAATGAATCCACTTTAGCTATATTAATATAAAAATGCATTATAGTATTTCATACAGTTTCTTATATAATATATTTAATGGATGTATCTAAATACTTGTTACTCGATGAATTGACAAGAAGCGCTAGAATAGGCTCATTAAAGTTTGGAAAATCATAGTTTCCGAATATTTGTTTCTTAAACTCGCTCATCTTACTACCGCAAACTACCAAGGAACAAAGCTAGGATCTTATTCTATATGTCTAGTAGGGGGTAGCACATTACTATTACCAGTAATAAGTAATAGCTGTTATTTCGAATTAATAGTACTAACTAAAAACCAGAAAAATTAATAGTAATAAGGAAGAAATAAAGCAATAAAGAACTTGATCGTGGAATCACTTCTATTTATCGATATGTTTCTACTTTCTCACCACTAGGACTACAACAGCTCTCAGACAGTAGTTCACATCAAATGAAAGAAAGAACTGTTGAAATAGTTCTATTCACTGATTTGTCCACAATCGCTAGATTACCTGCATTCAATCGGTAGTATTATTTGGGCCGTAATTAAGGATAACCCCTTTGATCCCTTAGGTCCTATCTAGATGTGATCCCTATGACTTTTGCATCCTACCTGAAGTTGGTCCCGGTAAATTTTGTGGATTTACGCTGGGGTAGTTCCTCTAGCCATTCGGGATCTACTTAAGGGTTGCTCTTATGAATTTTTCGGGTCCACTAAGGATAGTACTTCAAGTTTGAAGATATCACTGCTAAACAGAGTGACACGTTAAATGGACGATGCTTATATGGGATTGAAAAAGTTATAGAAACTGCCAATAGTTACGAAAAGGGTTATGCCCAGACCGAAACTTTCCATCTCCGTCTCAGTCGTCGTGGTCGAGATTTTGGTCTCGCTCTCTTTCTTGTTCGCGGTTAGCCTCGGTTCCGGTATTGATGAGTGTTGGTCTCGGTTCATCCCTAGTTACGACTGAATAAGTTATAAGAATCCCCTCACACACTGCGCAAAAGAATACAAGGGATGCCACTATATATGTACTAAAATGCTGCACCAATCAGCCCTGACCAGTCAGACAAGTAACGAAAACATCGACGTTTTTTTGCGTTAAAAGCGCACATTTTAACGCGTAAAAAATAATACTTTTTTGTGAGAAAAAAAGCGAATCGATACATGTTAATGGTTTTAACGTTATTTAGTCAAAATAAATTTTTTTTAAACTTGTTAGAATGTGAACTTTTTACGCATAAAAACGTCGATTTTTTTCGTTACTTGTCTGACTGGGTAGGAAGTTCTCACATAGTTCTAGTTACCACCCTGGGATAGGTCCAGAAAGGTACAGGACCACCCTTGGTAGTTTCTTGAAAGTTCTAGGTATCATCTGTAAGTAGATCCCAAATAGCTAAAGGAACCAACCATGGGTAGGCCCTAAAACTTCTGACTACTCCCTCTGACTGAGTCCTTAGAGTTTCTAAGTACCACCCATGGTCAGTCTCAAAACACTGATAGGAGTATTACCCCTATGTGATTCTTAAAAGGTTCTGAGTATCACCTATAGCTAGACTCCTAATAGCGATAGGGGTCAGTTCTGGTCTGATCCTGGAAGTTTCTAATACGATCTCCCGGTAGGTTGCAAGTACTTAGGTCATACAAAAAGTTCCCAGATTATTAAAAAAAAATATAAAGACAAAGAGAAAGTTCGAGTTTTATTTTATTAAATGTTCAAAATAGTCACCATGATTATTTATACAAAGTTCCATCCTCTCTAATAGTTTGTCAAAAGTTTTTTTAAATTCTTCTTCTGGAATATTTTTTATTAGCTTGGAAACTGCATGAGTCAATGATTTTTCATCTGGTTGATCAGTTAAATTCTGTTTGATGTAATCATTTAGCCAATAATCACAGGGTGCAAGGTCAGGTGAATATGGTGGATGTGGTATTATATTGATACCTTCGCCTGTTAAATAATTAATAACATCTGAATGACGATGGGATGAAGCATTGTCACGAAGCAATTTTATGCCTTTAGTACCATTTGACTTTCTTTGTTTCCGTATTTCTTTGACAACAGGCTCGAGACAATTTTCTATATAATAGTCGTGATCTATAGTCTCGTCATTGTCAACAGCATGTATTAGAACAGGACCATTTGATTTAAAGAATATAGAAAATATATTTTTTCGTTCAAATTTGCGTCAACGAGCGATAGTACGTGGTGATTCACCTTCGTCAATCCAACTTTTGTTTGTTGACTTGTGATGAATCTGCCTATGGTAAATCCACGTCTCATCACCTGTAATAATATCACATAATCGCCAGGAACCATCACGAAATTTGCTAAATTTTCACGACAAAGTCGAACTCGTTCTTGGTTTTGTTCATCATTCAGTTGCTGGGGTATCCAACGAGATGGAACTTTTTTCATCTTGAGATAATTGTGGATAATTTGTCCTATTGTACCACGAGAGAGAGAGAGATGTCTCAGCTATAATATCATCATAAGTTGAATGTGGATCATTGTTGGTAACCTGTCGTACTAATTCAATATTTTCATCTGTAAGCACGGAAACTGGGCGACCAGATCAAGGATCATCATTGACATCTTCTCTTCCTTCACGGAAACGCTTTGTCCACTCTGCAACTGTTGGATATGATGGAGTCTTGAGTCCCAAAGCTGTTGCAAGTTCTTCGTGAATTGTCTTTGGATTTATCCCCAAAATAGTTCGAATTTTTATATAATATCGATTGCATTCATGATCCATTTTTGAAAATTTTTTTTAGTTCGAATTAAAGTTTATCGAAAAAAATACTATAACTAAATCTAAAAGAGATTTACTATATATACTATTATAGATAAGGCATTCCACTATTTGTCCATGCACAACACTCTTCGATATTAATCGGCTTATAAAATTGCCAATAGCAATCTGGGAACTTTTTGTACGACCTATGTAGCTATACGAAATCTTCCTGTATAGATTCTAAAAAATTCTAAGTAATATCTTTGGGTCGGTATTTATTACGGTAATAATTATTACACGCTATTACTTATCAGTTGTTGCTTTTATTATTTTCAGTTTTTTAAACTTTATTACTCGTAATAAATAATAAAAGTAATAATAATTAGGAATATACCGCTCATGCTCATGAGCATGGGCAGTACACTCCTATGTTGAATCCTACTTGATTTTTAAGTATCGCAAAAATTCATCGGAATTGACTAATATGTCAATCTTATCAGTTCACTCATGCTTCTTGCCCGAAAATCCTACGACCAATTCCTCCTTTTTCCGATCAGATTTTTTGGATCCTGATGGATACTAGGTTCCAATAAGATCCGCTCCCCCGCCCCCCCCCCTCATGTAATCTCGAAACGCATTTTAGACGCAGTTAGATGCGTGTATGTTGCAAATTTTGGCATCCTGATGCGTTTCGGTATCGAGTTATGATAAAAACGCAGATAAAGGCGTTTGTAATTATCTTTTTAAACGCATTTAAAGAACTTCGACGAGTTTATTAGCGTTAATCAGAGCAAACGTATACAAACGCGTTTAAGTGCCTATTTTAAAACGCGTGTAAACGCAATCTGTGTCTTTTCTTGCGTTAGATCTTGTACCACAATTGAAACGCAATTCATTTGCTATCCAATAAACGCAGTAAAATCGACGAAGTAGATAAAACACGTTTCACGGAGGTATGAGTGAGCTCATGAAATGCCGAAAACGCGCTTCATTACACACCCTTTCCAAAACACAACTGAATTCATAGTTATATAGTAGGTACTGTCAATGAAGAGTGATCAGATATGCAGCGAATCTAATATTTTTGGTTTTTAAGTTTCGTTTTCGCTTTCATTTTGAAATACGTCGAAAAAGATTATATTTTCAAACTAAAACCAAAACTTCAAAACTAGTTTTGATTTTAGTTCATGCCTAAGCATGATAACTATCGAAATCTACATTTATACAAAAATACGCTTGAGTACAACGGAGTTTACTCTAGTTAAAATGCTTCATTGCACTAGGAGAAAAAGCTTTGTGTTATATTTCGTCTTTGTAAACTATTAATTAGCGGTAAAAAAAAGTCCGTTATTGATTCAGTTAAGTAAAAAGAAATCTATTTAGTTTTATTGAATACGTATATGATATCCATGATATTTTTTCTTTTGAACTCTACTTTTGAACTCCAAGATCCGACCTTCGTTTATATATTGAGAATTGAGTCAAATAAGCTTTTTGATTTAACACATTGATTTTATCAAATGAGTATTTCTGTGATAAAGCATTTCTATTCGAAAGTTTTTATTGAAAATATTAGGCTATAAATACAACTGTATGCTTCTGTTTCCTTAAACTTGGAAGTACTTTCTGTTGCACACACGATAGATTATTATCTTGACATCATTGTTAGGATTTTCATCATCACTGTCGTAAATAACTAAGTAAATTAGATGTATATTCTGTTTTTACTTTCAATTGCTTTTTAAATAAAAACTGCACAAAAATGTTCTTTGATGCAGAGTTTAGTATAATTATCTTCATTGTTCCTTATCGTGAACAGTGCATCGAAGTAAAATTTATTTTATCAAATTAAGAAAAACGAAAAAAACGCATCATAACCATTTAAAAAATTCAAAACAAACAATTTTTAAATATTTTAATTGAAATATCAGTCAATATTCTGTTCTAAAAAGACAAATTAAGTAAGTTTAAAAAATTCTTGCTATAAGATCATTCATTCTATTTCGGATGGATGACTTAAAATATTACAGTATGACGGTTACGAAAAAATACACAGACAAGATTTTTTATTTTATATGTTGTGATATATCGTTCGCATCTTCTATAAAAAATACTCGTTATAGTGTCCTTATGCTAATGGAAAAAATGCTAATTAATATTATTATACTGCATATATGTACATTTATACCCTTCAAAGATAGATATATTTGTTTTTCTTAATTTTTTCAGTAACCAAAATTTTGAGCTTGATCCCACTGTTATTTCATGGATAAAAAGAATGCCTTATCCTAATTTCATTAAAATAAGTACCCTAACTATATTTATTTTAAAAAGCAAGATAAGTCAAAAGCACTGTAAAACGATTAACTTATGTGATTCATCAAGATAATAACAATACCAAGCAATGTATGGCTCAGCGCAAGTTATGTTCGACTTGTAATCAACTGTTCATGGGTTGAAATCTTGGTTCACGCTGTTGTTGGAAAAATTACCACTCTGTTGCTCATGTTATGTGGATGTTATATCATAGCGTAATATGATGGATCGGCTCAATTCCGACACACAGCGTTGATAATTTTTAATTTTTTTGGGGGAAAAAAGTAAACGCGTTCTAACGCATCTTGTATCCACACGAGTTTAGACGCATTTGATTTTGGATGCGTTCCCACGCTTGAAAATGTTGCATTTTGGACGAGTCCTACCGCGTCTTCCAATGCAAACGACTTATGATGCGCGAAGATGTATTGCATTGGTGACTATATTTTAGATATATAATCATAATGACGTGATGTATAATCAAATAACGTCAATCATGATAATAACAACATATTTTCTTCGTTCTTGTGACTATTATTGGTTGAGTTTCAGTTGAATGATATCAATGTGGACACCCCCTTTCTTTTTCTACTTCGGCGCAAATACAAAATGTATACAAAATACACTTTCTTTATTCGATTATTTATATACGCTACAGTTCGCTAAAGCAACCGAAATGTCTGGCGAGGGTTTTTTTGAACGCGGTAAGTTCTTGTATCAATTTTTTTATTGATGAAATATGTATGCCAATTTAAGGCTGCCGATGCCGTTATTGATGCTGGCATAGATACACAGGTTGATCGCATCGCTGACAGTTTCTTAGACAATCTCGAAAATAAAGTGAGTGAGATTTGGGATGTCCAATACTTCTATATCTTATCTTAATTTATTTTCATTTAGTTTCTACCTGGAGGTGCTACTGGCACTATCGGTCGAACCATTGACACTGGAATCAATACGTTCGTCAACAACGAAATCAACAGCGAGGTCAATCGTTTTCTTTAGACATATCTTACACTATTTTTAATAAAATGTATCTATTTCATCTAACGTAAAATAAACTGTAAAAATATACTTTATTGACTAGAATCTGTTAAGATCGCGATATTAACATTGAGTATGACCGATTGTTATTTCACACTCACTTTTATTGTCTCTATAAGCGAAATTGGGAATTTAAATTATACAAATATCAAAAAAGAGCACATACAATAGTAACGTGACATATCATGATGAAAAGAATAATCATTGAGTTTGACATAATCCTATTCTATTCTATTCTATCCTTTTATTTTATTTTATTTTAAATTTAAATCAATTTAATTCGGGTGTGGGTTAGTCTGTATCAAGAGGTGATAAATAAACTCACAGCCATACTTCCTAGGAATCGTTTACTTTCTCATGCGGTAATCATTGCTAACAGTAAAACGGTATCTTGATAAGCAACAAGAAATATTTGTCAAAGATCGGATGATTGTTTTATTTGTTCTCGGTTCAATTCTCTCTCAAAGCTGCACCTATCTACTGATAAGGAAACGTTAAAGATTTTACAACTAAGCGTAAACCTCCTCCCGGAATAAAAGACCCGAGGCCTTCTATTTGAAACAGAATCTATGTTGGTAGAAAGTTTTAGAAATCTTGAGATAAATATTTGTTTTTAATCTTTTATGTTCAATTCACAATCTCGAATTGACAAGAGATGAAAATCAAAAACATAAATTTACATAAGCTACATAAATATAATAATTATTTATTTTTTTCATAATTCATCTATAAATTCAATTGTTTACCACTATTCTTTAGCATCACTTGTGTGTGTAGTTGATTGGTCAAAGAATGTATCTTCTCCCACTTTTTTCAGAGCAGAGAGAAAAGATGGTGCGAGGGAGAGAGAGAGAACATAAATGTATACATAAAAAAAGTTTTCTTTTCTGCGAAGAATAGTGGACATATCCAGTAATAGTGAACATGGACGAATTATGAAGTTTGGGCCTTGTGTTAAGGCGGTCATTCAAAATTTTTAGGGAGAGGGCTTCTAATATAGGAGGCTCTTTTAATCCGAAAGGATCTTCTATTCCGGGGGGAGGGGGGCTACCAAGAAGTACAAGAAGTGCAAAAGTTCCCTTGCTCCTCCTTGGTTATTAGCCAGAGAAAAATAAAATGTGTTACCCTCAAATTAGACAGAGTTATCAAGTCATTTTTCTAAAAATCTAATGAGAAAAGAAATCAATACAAATATATTTTCGAAAAACTGATTGAAACCATACTCGTTAAAATAGGCAAACTCAATAAAAATTTAATTCGATTTTTATGAACTTTTTGCAAAATACATTTAAATCAAACTGATCTATTCAAATGCGAACAATCAATGGAATTAGAAATCGGTTGCAATTGATTTTTGAAAAAAAACGATGATTTATCGATTCGAATAAAATATTGATTTGAAAAATTAGATTTTCACGATTATTACGATTGCCATCAATTATAATTAATAAGAATATTTCATCATGTTGAAAGGTTGATATCAATTGCTTAATCGTGAAAGCGAATTTGTAAGATTAAATCTATTATAACATTGGTGAGTAAGATTCTCGTTTCTGTTTACAACTGGGTTAGCTTCTTATTAAATGAAGTATTGTCTTGTCATTTTCCAAAGGGTACACCGACAGTTGAGTCTCCCGACATTTGAGTATTCACCCGCAACCGTATTTTTACCCACCTGTTACAGGGCTCAATTATCGCGTCAGCATCTTCTTTTTGGATCAAAGACTATGGGACGCACTCTACTTGCTGCTGATTATTTCCTAATCTTACTCAACTGAAAAATCTTCAAATTTAACTGTGCTTTTGTTTCATATTATTTTGCAAGTAATTAATTAACTATTGAAATGAAAAATTATCAAAAATAGAAGATTTCAATGTCTATTTGTTTCTTGTTTAGATGAATCACCGTTTGGACACATCTTTACATAGTAGATTACAAATCTTACTCTCATAAATAATAAAAAACTAATGAACCATTGATGGATTATACAAATGAAAAATCTGAATCATCTAAGTGTTGTTTGATCATTTCATTTATTAGATTGTGCCCAAGTTTGTTGTTTCGCACTCTGCCATCGACTATTCTTTGCTATTCAGCTCTAACTTATTTATGTGGTAGTGATATACTTTTGACGATTGTCTTTGCTTACTTGATGACCACCTCAAACAACTGTATATCTTCATTGTTTCTTGTGGTAATTTGGAGAAACATTCATCGATAGTGCACAACTCGATGAGTTTATACCGTATTTCACGAACTTTGAAAATTTTTATTAGACATTAAGTTAGAGTAAATTTTTTTCTTCAAGCCATATCTCTTCGAATTTCATTCATTTTATTGTGTGTCTGTGTCCAGACTTCGATAACAATGAAAAACAAACAAAAAACAACTACTACAGTAGTTGATGAAAAAAGAGAATTCCACAATTTAGACGATGCCATTTCTTAAATTTTTGAAAAGTTCCTAAAAAAAGACTTAAGTATGACCTGTCACACATATTACAACAAGTAACAAACAAGAAGCAAAATATGGTGAATTGTTATTACTAGGGTAAATCGAAGATTTCACCGTGTTTAACTACAATAAATGATGATGGATCGAGTTGATTGTTTTTAACTGCTTGAGAAAGTTTCTCAGGTGGTTCCAAAAAATATTCATTTCCCGATGTCCATGTACCCCAATGAATACCGATCGATTTTTTTGATTGAACATCCATATGTATTTGAACAGCTTCATCTGGTGACACGTGTTGAGCTTCCATCATCCATCGTGGTTCATAGGCACCAATTGGTATAGCACTTAAATCGAATGGACCATATTTTTTGCCTATTTGTCGGAAAATTGAAATATTATGAGTGTAACCTGTATCTCCAACAAAGTAAAATCTGTGTGTAGCATCCCAAACAGCATAACCACCCCACAAAGATTTGTTCAGATCAAATGGAGTACGACGACTCCTAGAGTAGAAAATTTTACATTGCTAAGAAAAAACCAATGACTTTACCAGTGTTGAGCTGGACAGAAAGCAATGTTCACTTGTTTTTTCTAAAACAAAAAACAAAAATCAAAGATAAATATTGCAAAATGTTTTTTGAGTGAATGTTTTCTTACCGAAAAATGGTGCTCTTCCCACCAATCGAGTTCGACAATATTTTGTACTTGACTATCGAGAAACCATTGTCGACTACCTCGACCACAGAACCAAGTTAGTCGTTCACCATAACGTTCGTTTAAGCTTCTTACACTAGGATAATCGAGATGATCAAAATGATTATGTGAAATTAGTATAGCATCGAGATCATCGGGTAAATCGTTTATTGATAATGCCGGTGGACGGAAACGTTTTCGTGGTTCACTATAATTTTACATTTTTCTTTTCAAAATAAAACGAGAGACAGAGAGAAAAGATTTACCTGAAAACTGGATCGACAAGAAATCTGAAATTATTCATTTGAATAAAACATGATGCATGTCCAATCCAGATAAATCGTAGGCCAGGTGTTGTTCGATATAGTTCATTAGGTTTCTCATGTTGAATAACCGGTAGCATTTTATCCAGTTCTTGTATAGTAGACGGCAATCGTTTGTTGTCCGGTGCAAAAAGTATCCACTTTAAAGTGAGTGCCGGACCAGGGAATTTAAATTCAGGATTGAATGAATTAACGTAACGACCATTTTCAATTCGAGACTTGACTAATTCATCGGAAGTCGTATCGGTTGCTAGTGCTGTTGCTGCTACAGCCATAATGATTGCTTGGAAGAATTTGGTTTGTCCTATACGTAGAATGATGGTGATGTGAACGCATATAACATAATTTTTAGATTCTCTTTACAGAAAATTCCGTCGCTCCTTCTCCAATGATCAAAATATGAAAATAATCTTTAACTGTCTAAAGGCTTTGAAAGGATCTCTAGAAAATTTTCAGATCTATCGAACAATCCCCGTGCCAAAATGTTTTTGTGCTTGAGACCTAATTTTCTTGGTAGCATTATACGCAAAAATGTTGAAATGTTTTTGAATTTTCAACAAATTTTTTCAATAAGTCTTGCTTATTTTAAAAAAAGACATAATTTTGTCACCTGGCTACCCACTGTGGAGTGAGAAGCAGTCAGATTAAGACGGTAACGAGATGGAACGTCATAATAGTCAATAAACGAAGTTACTTTTATCGTTCGGTAAACTACATACAAGCCGTACACAGTCCATGTTCTGACGAAAATGGCGACGAAGCGCGCAAACATTCTAACAAGAATCTATCACTTTCAATGTGTTCTCTTCCTGAAATAGCGACCTATTTACAAACCAAAATGGACAAAGCACATATTCCAGAAAGATGACAACGATAATCAACTGTTTTTCTGGAAAGAACAAATACAATTGTAGACTAATTTTTCAAAGCTGCCAAACAATTTTGGTGTTCCTATGTCGTTGGAGACAGTCAAGTGAATTTCTAGTTGGACTGGTATACGCATTTCCTGAAGAAAGACAAATCTCAACCCATCCACTTTAAATGACGTTCTTTGTGTTCGATTGATTGTTGCTCATTCAAAAAATATCTTGCAGATTTTATGTCAGATTTTTTTCCAACAGTCTTCATATATAATTTAATTGAAATTGATACATTTTAATAAACGTGAACTATTTCTTAGCTTATATTCTATGTTAAGATGAATAATTTTCTGCCAGGTAAAAGAAAGTATTGCGTCGAATGTGTTTTATTGTTCACCATTGAGTTCCTTATCTTATCGTTGAACGAGCTTAAAAAGTTCTCACATTAGAAAAAAACTTAACTTTTATCTCGGCAGTTTTGCAGAGGTGAAACTTTCTCAATTGGTAAGTCTATAGGACAAAAATTATTTACGAATTTCTTTTGTGAACTCCAAAAACAAGCTGTAGATATGAGAGTGAATAGTAATTTTGATATCACCAACAATGAAATAACTGAGTTTGGATTGTAGTCCATAGGCGATTTAGTATCTCCATGTACGTAGCTTTTATTTCTTCAATAAAACAAAATTTGAATGGAGTTCGATAATTGTCAAAAGAGCGTATTGCCACATTTCTATGATTCATTATTGAAGGAGAGAGAAAAACACAGAACTTTACTAAATCAGTTATGATCTACAATCCTCGCATAGTTACTTGCCATTTTATGATATTAACATGTTAAAAAGAAAAGAAAAAACTCCTTTGAGCTTATCTGGGAATATCGATTGATTTCCTTACTTTTAAAGCTTGTTTGTTATCTTACTCTGAATGAGTATCAGTGATGTTGTAATTTGCAATTTTACTTCGATTGTTTTGCGTTTCTCAAAGAAGAAAAATATAACGTAAAACAAAAAAAAATTATTGACAACAGCAAAACGCATGAGAACTCAAAAAAGAAAAGAACACAACTTTATCAAGTAGAGTACGGCATATACGTGTCATTTCGATGTCTGTCAAATATTTACTTTCTTCAAAATAGGTGTTATTAGTCAGAGTAAAATGAAATGCGTTATTCTCAGACTGAATAAAAAATTATCCAATCATTTTCTTAAAATGATTATAAGAAAAGAGTTCAATATAATAGTACGTACCCACAGCCCGATGACTCATCGAATCAATATCAAATAATGCACTGGTGGTGACCCCAAATGTCTTCTCTCTTTTTCAGCAGTTCTTATGGTCAATACTTTCATGCATTGAGTGAATTGGAAATTTTTAGGGATATTCGATTTATTAACCCAAGTCGGATTTGCGAGATCGTTATTGATGAGTGGTTATAAGTGCATGATAATGGCGACATTAAACCAATAGAAATTTAACAGTGAAAATGACATTCTGTTTTCTTTTTTTCTATAGAAGAAACAGTTGACGGGAACAAGTACAAATCATTTTTTTGACTAATGTAATATTGTTTTACGTCATTAACAGTGCCACTAGAGATTTTTTCATGCATTCTTTGTGGAAAACGAGGTCGACTTGTTCGTTCGAAATACACAAAGATCTGTACAATTGAAACTGAAGAAAAAATTTGTGAAGGTTATCGACGTCGACTTGGAACCCGTGTCCACCATTACTAAGACAGAGTTATCAAGACGAGTCAAAAATTATTCTAATCAAGTATCAATCTCTCATTCAATTTTAGCCAACATTACGAATAATGAATCTACCACTCCATTAGGCGAATCTTATTATAGAACCAGCACCAATAAATCATTCAATACTTCATTTATATTTGAAAATCAAGAACGTAATGCTAATAACGTAGCACCTATTGAAATTTATTTCGATGACGACAAGGAAGTACGTTAAGCTAGTGTATATCAAACCAAAATATTTCTGTGGTGAAAATAGCTGAATATGATTCAACAGAAATATCAGGTGTTAATTTATCATATACACAGGACGAACAATGTCCAGCTCCAAAGAAATTTGATGATCCAACAACTACGCCAAATAATATCACAAACGAACAGTTAACAACACGATTATTAGAACGAAATACCGTAGATTTTGAATAGAGAAGTACATTATGTTTCTTTTTCAGATGCATTTCATACTGCATGACATGCAATCAGATATGATATACATGATGAAATAGAAGAAAGCAATGTAAAAACATCAAATAGTATTCCATTAATAGAAGAAAAACTAATTTTCTCTAGTACAACAACAACATTAACTGAAACTGAATTTGAATTAACATCAATAAAGTCCCCTCTCCTATCATAATATTATGTTTGTGCCAAACTAAATCGAAAACACGCTCTTTTTATATCTATAAGGAAAAATATTTTCTGTTGACGCTAATGGAAATGATTTACCAATTTTAACGAACACCAATGACGACTATGTTTGTGAAGTTGTGATCAAACGTGATTATAGGAGCCATTGTGCTTAAATCACGACCGATCGAGCGCATTTTCTTACATGTGATAGAGGCCTGGGTGTGGGTGTGTTTTGAAGCATACTACAATACGTTTCAACCTTACCGAAGGGCCTCATCAGGTAGCTCTATGTTTTGTAACTATTCAATTGATTCGAAAATCAAAAATAAATTACTTAGCCTTCGTATCTATCAACAATATTTCAAGATTCAACAGTGAATTGCAACGATGTTACGTCATTGGCTGTGGATTAATATTCGCACGTGGAAAGTATTCGAGAATTCAATATGTTGAAAATGAAGAATGGTTCCATAGGAAGTAGTAGTGGCTTCGGCCTTGTAGGAGGTGGCATGAGCTCGCTTGCTTCTGATAAGTAGTTGTTTGAGATTAATAAACTATTAGTTTCATTTTCTATATTCGCATGATGTGATGGTTTATTCGGATAGGTGAATGATGGGTCATTTTTATGATAATCGTTGTAAGTATGTAGGCATAAGCACATTTTTTTACGATGTTGGTATTAGGGGTGTAACTGTTCTTAGGATCTGATCTGATCTGTTCGTACGGTTCTTTTGATAGGAGCTAAAATTGAACTGTCATACTTTAACAGAAAGGCTGTCCCTAACCCCCGAGAAAGTTTCTTTAGATTTGGAAAAGCTTGTAAATGCATTCAAATGTTCAAAAAACGATTATTCAGTTCTACGAAATTTTCTTAAGTTCCGTACAGCAGGAAAAGGTTTTGTAAGAAAATATGAAACCTTTCAAGTTCAGTATTAAATTATAACTGCGTTTTACTAAACACTAATGGTTTCGCACTAAACCAGTAGAACCTAATACGAAACCTCTGAGGTTTCGTATTTTTTTAGAAAATCCTTTTCTGTTTCAAAGTTCTCGTATGTTGCAATGAGAAATAAATATCTAACAATTTTCTGGTAGGTTTGATTCTATCAGCTTCATTAAAAATACCTAAGAAACAAGCATTTAAATCATTAATTCTAAATAGAAAGATATTTATAAAGCAACTGCGAAGTCAATCAGATACCTACGAAAAGAAACTCAAAGTAAATATGTTCATAGACCAACTATTCTACACATGTAGATGGCGTGTGCAAGTCCCAAATACAAATGAAAAAAATATCAGGACAGAAGTGTGTGAATGTTGCCCTCAAAGTTTTCAACAAGTTCTCCCAGATCGTGTGCAAGTAGTATGGCGGAGGTCGATAAACGACGTATGTAGCTTTTTTGCGGGTGTGGGTGAGTCATCAATGAATCTGCAGTTTCAAGGTTACATGAAAAGAAGAGAAATATTATGCAACAACTCTCGTTTTGCTTATAAAGCGAAGACTGTTGCTAGAATCAGAATTAGCACCACCACACATGTCTTCATCAAACAAGCAACCGCAGGTCATTATCGATCTGAATAAAATACTCAATCTTAACGATTTGACTGAAGTAAAACGAATGGAAACTGAATTCGAATTGAATGGCTGGTGTTTCGTCTTATTACCAACAGAACTTATTCTAGACTCAAATCTGACCCAAGAACTATGGCTATTGTTTAAGTCTGATCATAGAAAGATTAGATATTCACAGCGTAAGGGAATATATGGTTATTCGAAAGTGAACCATAAAGAAGGAATCAAAATATTGACCGGAAATTATTTTGGAGAATTTGCAAATAAGGAATTGGTGCCAGTGGCACTTATGAAGCCATTGAACTATCTTTCTCAATTATTAGATGCGGTAACAAAGCGTTTAACCGAAATTCTTGATCAGTATTCTGTATTCCAACGGGAACCGTCTTTGTCATCTTTCATCGAACGTGCCGATTTGCCATTGAAAGATGATCATTTTGGTATGCTCGATATTGTATGCTACTTCAACAAAAAAAATGTGGTTTCCAACCACCACAGAACGAGCAATCGGCCGAAGAAGTCAATTGCGTTCCACATTATGATCCGGGACTACTTTCAATTAGTATATTATCAACACACGAAGGACTTCAATTGAAAAATATGACGAATAATGAGTGGATAGATGAACTTTTACAACCCAACATTGGTGTCATCTGGCTGGGAGAGGCAGCATATCGAACTACACAAAATCGGCTTAAGCCAGGCATCCATCGAGTCATTTATCCTCAAGATCCAACATGTTGAGTAACAGTCTGGTATAAAATATGCACAACTGAACAGTTGAGAAATATCAGCGCTGAGAGCCATGACGAGCCAATGGTTGAGGGGATCATTACACTTAAAAATCTTCCTGGATCGGCTCCAATAACCGTTCTACCCGGTGAGACAAAGCTGGAATTTTTAAAACGAGTTGAAATGACCAGTGGATTATCAATGAGCAAATCAGGTCCGCGATTTTATAGCCTTCAAAAACATGATATTTCCTATCCATCAACTTCTTCGAAAACTGAATAAACAACACATTCATATGTGTAGTAGATTCTTTCAGTTTTGTACTTTTGCAGAAAGTATTTAGCTCCACAGAAATATTTGCTTTCACAAGTAGACGAAACATTAGCAGACTCAAGGATATGATCGGTAAAGATGGATTTGTTAAATGTAGAACGTATGATGATCATAAATCAAATAAAAACAGATCGATTTATACCTCTTCGATATAAATCAATCTCCTACTCTTAATTTTTGCTTTTCAGCAATCGACTAAAGTCGTAATTAATTTCATCAACGTGTTTCGTGTTTACTTATTTAATAATTGAAACACTCTTCAGGGCTCTGCATTACAATAAGAAAACACAAAAAATTTTAAAAACTTAAAATAAGGAGCATAATACACGCTCCTTTCTAGTACAGTGGTAGTATAGCTGCCCGGAAAGCAGAAGATGTTGGTTAGATTCCATCGGAGGGAGATTGTCCTTTTGTTCCGTTCTGTTATCATGCCATCACGTTGCTGTCTCGCTGATAAATGAGTTTAATAATGTGAGAGAAAAGAATGCATAACAGCTGGAGAACCGTAATTAACCGTACGTTAACCGCCGGTTTTAAAGCTGTTTTAGCGACATGGGTGCTTTTATTGAAATATCTATGTACTTCCGATCGTTCAACAACATGATATCATATAAATTCATGCATTTAAATTGAAGCAACGACAGAGAAATTATTTGCAATCAAATAACTCGTAATCACAACAAAGGTACGATGGACACTATATTTATAATACTCCTAGGAAAAAAACATTTTCTGAAAGCACACATCGAGAAGATCAAACAAGAATAAATTTTAATGGATTATTCTAGGAATATATTAAAACAGATTCAATTTCTAGCCTATTATCTAGATTTTTCTCACAAAAATTGATTTTAATTGAATATTTTCGGGATATTAATAGATTTTTCTGAGCGAAATAAAATTTAATCAGAATTTTTGCGATTTGTTTTTACATGGGATCATTCTGATAATTCCTTTATTTCAAAACAACAAGAATCAATCGTGATGACTACGATTGTTCCTACTAAAACCAACAAGCGTTGAGTATATGAAAAAGAGTGCATAAATTTCATTTGATACTGTTATTTTTCGACTCTTCGAAGTGAGGGGCAAGCAAACGACGAATAACAGAGTCTTTACTGCATCTATTAAAAAGTTAAAATATAGAAACTACGAAACATATATATATAAATATAATGGAAATAAATATACTCCACAATGAATTCTTCTCTATCCAATTGATTGTCTTTATTACGATCGAGTTTTGATATTATATTTTTGGCTCTTTCTTCGGGGTGATGTTCACCTTTACGATCAGTACAGTCAACAAGGTCATACTGAAAACACACAGAGGAAAGTACATTTTATTTTTAGATTCTGATTAAAGTTGTACCATAGCAGTGATCAATGCTACCAGTTCTTTGGAATTAATTTTTTCGTCACCATTGGTATCATACCTAAGTATCAACAAGATCGCAAATCAAACAAGTGTTTTTTAAATTTACATATCGAAAAGGAAACCAAGGCGATGAGAAAGCTTTCCTTGACATCTAGGTGAAACAGCTGTAAGAAATTCCTCGAAATTAATTGCACCATCAGAATTCTTATCGAATGATGCGAACATATACCTAAAAATAATTAGATACTTTTATAACTGAATAATACTGTTCCATTAGATTATACTTGCAAAAAAATTTTGTTCCATGTTCTCCATAATATGATACATAAAAACGTGTCAATGTGCTCCCGTCAAGTTTGCCATCAGGACAATCTTGAAAAAATCCCTAATATTAGAAGAAATAGATGAAAAAAGGACAGAAATCATCACTTTTGCTTACCTTATGCCATTGTTGTATTTCTGTTTATCAGGAAAAAACATATAGATATGAACCAAAACAAATGAGAGAATTTACCTGCTTCAGAAAACTTCGTGATTTCTTTGAGGCGATCAATATCTAATAATTATGAAATGAAGCAAGAAGTTTTAGCATAAATCAATTTAAGCTACGCACCTTCTCTCTTTAATTTTTCTTCTTCACGTATTGTAGGATGTTTATTGCCCATATGTAGCGATAATTCTCAGTGACTACCAAATGACCAAAACTTTTTTAATCTAAAAAATTAGTTTTTTGAACTTTCTTGTTAGTGAATATGGATAGTTTCATCGGAGGTACTCAGCGAACAAAAGAAGAAGTGAGCAAAAAGTCATTATGATATAGGCTCCGTGGAATAAATGTGTGACAGATTTCAAGAAAATGTTGTAAAGTAAACTTCATCTTGGGAATCATTTCATGAATATCCCTGGATGGAGTTTCCAAGGATAATAACGTTCGAAGTTTCGATAACGTACAAAAGTTTCTGCATAACCATGAAGAAAGTCAGTTGCATAAATCAATCTAAGGTTAAAAAATGAAACTCTGGTTTATTGTCTTACGCAACAGAAACAATTTGAAATAAAAATTTTGGGAAGTAGGTGCCGGTGGAAACTGAAGATATAAGTGTGTGGGTAATAGAATTGCATTTCGACTGTGTGTGAATCTATTGAAGATGTTTGCATATGATATAGATTGATATGTTCACTTACACTTGAGTGCAGTTGTAATCATTCGTTCTGAATTTTGTGTAGAAATGCAATTAATCAAGTAGTGATGAAGGTCATAGACACACAAGAAAACCTTGTAAATAGCCCGTTTATGAGTACTGCGCGATTTTTTCGAAGTCATGAAGTTCTTGTAACAGTTATTACCGTCGATTGTCGTAACTCTCTTACTCTTAAATAAGTTAAAATAATGTGACTGGTGATAATTGAAAATGGATCACTACTCTGCGTGTGTGCGCTATTGTGGGGGCCAAATGACAAACTCATTGTTCGTTCCCATGATTGAAAAGAAACATCCCATAGAAATACGTGTTCATGTATGAATATCGTACGCTCACCCAATCACGCTGATATTTATAAAGTTCAAATTACATATGAGCGAGACAATATTTTAATTTTCTGAAAGTAGTTCTGCGGCTTGCCCACGTAATATGTCAATTCAAACATTGAGTATTTACTTCAAAATTAGAAAAAAGCAACGTTGCTACCATCTTGTTGTTCATCGGAAAAAATATATTTCTATGAGCTTCTAACAGTGTTGACACTAAATACTGATTGCCATATTGCTCCATATACAGTTATTTCTGTCCTTTTTCAAAACAGATCATGCCAATTTATATCAGGCTCCGAAATTTTGCTGTCAAATGTTCGGTAAACTATCAAGTGCAGTCTTTATTTCAATGACAGAATGAACACTCGTGTCGCTTTTTCTACATAGATATTCTTGAAATAACATTTGATCAATACTGTGGTAACAGCATTAAGAAGTAGCGCCTCTTTTAAATTTTCGACGAGCTACGTATGGAACAATAGGTAATAGACTAGTGGCCTATCGCCAGCTTTCCATGGGAATCCTGATGCGCTACGTTTTGTTTAGAACATAATTGCATCTTGGAGTATATATGCGTAATCCTATTAGGAAAGTTTGAATCGGGTACTATTTTAGTCTATTCGTTTTTAACAATCTCAGTGTATTAAGGTAGTAGAGAAAGAATAGAAAAACATTACATCAATCAAAGCTTTGTTGATTGAACTTGGAAAAAAGATGTACTGAAAAATAGTCGAAAGAAATTTATCTGTGAAAACGGCAAAAATGGGATACGCAGCTCAAATGATCTACCGTGAAAGATACCTATGACGTGTCTGTGGATGCCGACGCGACCTTTAGCGATAAGAGCTGCAGTGATATGCCTTTAGAAGTAAGACAATCGATTCAGACAAGCCTACACCGAATAAAAATAGTAAAACAATTTACTCCCTAAAAAAAGGTGCAAGAGTGTTACGTTCTTTTCTCTCTGTTTTTTGACACAAGTATAAACAAAGTTAAAATGAAAAAACTACCTTGGTAATGGTCACTTGATTCTGTATAGATTTTGTTGTAAAACTATTTCATTTGTAGTCCTTCTTTTGTGATAGTTAGAGCTAAAGCTATGCACACAAATTTAAGGTTCTGTGACCTAACGGTGTTAATGATAGAAAAAAGTTTCTAGAAGCTCAAAATTTCAACCAAACAATTTCGTTTTTTATAGAATAGATGGAGTAGGATAAGTTGCGTTGAACGGTATTTGATTGAACTGTCCAGCGGTCTCAATTCTTGAAATAATAAAAAATATGTCAAAATTACAACTTAATTATGCATCTGTGGAAGCCTCCGCATCGTTTGAGTTTGACTGTGGTGAAGGGTCTATTTGTTTTTGAAGAAGACTGCAGAGTTTTATTGCGTCATCCCATCCACCTGGCACATTGACACTTGTTTCATCGTCTTGTATTGCTATCCATGACAAACCCACGACGCAAACCAACGCAAATGTGATCAGAAAAACGAAGGTTAATAATGTTACAGTTAATTGAAAGTGATATAGGAGGGCAATGCCTGGAATAATCAGGAACGGTACTAAAATGTAAATAAATGTTACTATTACAGTCATATGCGGATGTTTGTACTGAGATAGATTGAAAAAACCGCAGCGGCAACGTATACGACGACCACAACAAGGGGTTGTAGCAGTGATTCGATTGATGCCAACAGTCTTAGCCAAAATACGACCTATACCGATTGATACACCTAAGCGCTTGTTAAGTGCACTAAGGTATATACGTATTAGACATTCAGTAATGCTCCCCAAAGCAGTCAAAAATCCTGCAGTAACGCCAATTTGTGTCGTCAGATCCGCTGTTGTCATGTCGCGCGCGATCCAGCGGAAGCATGCTCCGCTGGCAGAATCGACTGAAAAGTTGAGAATTTGACCAGTATTGCACTCAAAGTATGTATGATTGTCACCAGAGTAGCATTCCATTGGACCATATGTAGGACATGGACCATCTCGATAAACAGTAGTAGTGGCTAGGACAAGATTACCGAAAGCAGCAATAAGAGCAGCCGAGATAATAATTGTAGTTAAGATTGTTAAAAACGCTTTATTTATTCGTTTATTGAAAGAAAGGAACCTCCCATACATGTTCAATGCTGGCCGTTCATATTCTGAGTTCGACCGAGGATATTGAAGTTTTATTCCTTTACTTGTTAATGGCGATATGATATTGTTCAATGGTCCAAGGTGCTCGCTAAACTTGTTCCTGATATCTCGAACAAATTCTTTGATGCCATTTATTTGTGGCAATTCTGATTTGATCAACTCTTTAAGTTCGCGGGTAAAGTCCTCCTCGATGCGTCGGAGAGCCTGTGTGATTTTTGTTTTCGCTGAAATTGTTGAATCGGATAATTGACAAAGTTCGTTGTTAAAGCTTTTCTCAATACTCGTATTCTGAACGGACTGTGACATGTCACGATTCGCTGAGAGTATTAAACTGGTTAATTTTCGAAGTTCCTCACTAATGTTGTTGTCGGCTTTCTTGAAAGCGTTTTCAATGACATCGCGTTGTGATTGTGTTTCCTTGGCCAATTGGATAATTATTTTAGTAACATTGTTCCTGAAAGCGTGGATATGGTTCTTCCTTTCATCTTCCTTTGGTACGGGTGAATTGATCAATTCTTTGAGTTGGATAGCCAATGTGTTCTTGATAATCTGAAGAAGGGGTGCGATTTCCTTTATTGATGTTAGTGACGGACTATCTAGTTGCGCAAGTATCGTGCTAGACTTCGTTTCGATCTCTTTGAGCAACTGTATGATTTCATTTATTGGGTAGAATATCAACTTGGTCAATAGTGTAAATTCGGCTTCAATGTTGTTCTGGATCTCCTGAAGTGACCATATGATTTTATTTATTGGTGATAGTATTTCTTTGGCCAATTGTGTAAGTTCGCCCCTAACTTTGTCCTCAATCTTTCTGAGAGTCTGTGCTGTCGTTCCTGCTGGCAATTTTGTGTTGGTTAATGGCTGAAGTCTTTCATGAAAGTCCTTATCGATCTCCTTGAGAGACTCACTGATATGCGTTTTTGGTAAGAGTGTTGAACTGCCTAATTTTATTAGCTTGACAATAATGTTATTCTCTTTACTCTCGAAGAGCTGTGGGATGTTATCTTTCTCTAATAGTATTGAACTAGTCAAATGTTCAAGTGTAGGGATAATCTTATCCTTGATATCATTGAGAAACTTCATAATATCCACTATTAGAGGCACTGTTGAATTGGCCAATTTCCCAAGTTTAGCAACAAAGTAGAGCTTGATATTCTCGGAAAACTGTCTACCATTCTCTTCTGGTGGTTGGTTACCGCCAGGTGCTTCACCAGTACCCAGTGCGCAGTGAGACAAAATCCCACTAAAAAATGTTACGGGTTTTATTATGTCAGCACGCGAGAAATTAAATGTTGAATTTTTGCGAATAACAGTATGATGTATATCAATAATACAACGCTGAATGTTGAACAGCTTAGCAACAGCACTGAAGAATACTTTATCACAATAACACAGTAAAATAACCAAAATGAAAAATGTAATTAAAATGATACCAAGACTAATTAAAACACTACAATAAATCCAATTCCAATAACCCCAAGGCATTTTAAGCGCTGGAAAAATAATCTAGAGAATAGATTGAAAAATAGTATTTTTGACCTACGTGTGTTGAATGAAACTATTGCCAAGCAATATGTTTGAATGAGGTATAATCGCTTTTCATAAATTGGAAATTCTAGGGAATCAAATGGGACATGGTGATTGCAGAATTCTCATTTGAATTTGATGTATCAATCTTTCTGGTATGGATAATTGACTTCAATGTAACAAAAAGCCGCAGAATAATAAATGGGCAAAAACATTTTTGATAGGATATTAAACAAAGAAAGTTTATGAAGGTGCAACGTATCATAAACCCTTTTTTTCCGTATATGACGAAGATAATAAACGGTTTTTAGGTTTCTGATTTGGAAAAAAAGCTCTGTGTCACGTTGCACTTTCATAAGTCCTTTTATTACAGTGTTGCATGCACTGAAAAACAAGGTGCATTACCAAAATTTTTAGGTTATGTGCAACTTAACCAAATATTTTATGTTGGTATCTTACCAGTTTGCACTGGTCATGCAGCAGATCCCATTAATTGGGTAGTAGTTTAAACTGGGTGACCAAATTTAAATAGACTCAGATAATTGAATACTAATTGCAACTGATAAGTTGTTTGGAGTTAATTATGTAATCGCTGAAATTCGGTAACAATTTGACTGGCTTCTCATCTAACTGATACTCGAGAGGACTCAACATCCACTTAGAATTAGTAGATATCACATAGGGGAATTTTTCAAAAAGATTCCATTTTGCTAGTTTACAAAGGATTCTTTGTGAGGATCTGTAGAAAGCTCTTTTTTGATTTCTACTGAATAGAATGCATTTCAATTCATGAAGGGTGCGGGTTGTCGATAAGCGATGAAGTTAGCCCCCTGAAAAAATTCAACGTCATCTAGACGAAACTATCATATTGAATGCCAGCAAGTGTTCTTCGAAAGAATTTCTCAAATGGACTTTGTTTTGCTATGACAAGATCCAGTAAAGTATTAAATGAGCATCTTTGTTTAGAATGATCTAGATGTTTTATGATAATCGTCTATTTTCATCTGCTCAACCTATGGGCTAGCTGACTCGCGTTCGTATGATTGGATAGCAATTTTTAACGGTTATAAAATGGCATAAAAACATTAGCGAATAAAAATAAGTAACATGATTTCATACGGTGAATATCGGGTGACATAGTTTTGGAATGTTTGAAATATCGATAATGCCTGCCGAAAATATGGGAAAAACGGCGGTATTATGTCCAAATCTCGAAAGAATGAGTGATTGATACCGAAAGTTTCGGAAAATTAAAATATCGAGGAACGAAGTGTTGAATAACTGGCCGTTCATGGTAGATATGGTCATAATTATAAGATGATATGTGAATAAGCGTGTGGATGTGAACAGAGGCGTAACGCTCTCACTCAATAGTTTAAAATCTCGAAGCGGGGGAACGTAACGTCTTCGTTCGTATAGATACATTACTAAAATACACCTGAAAACAGGTTTTTTCGATCTTATTGAACATATGTAACAAAATTTGGAAAAGCAGGGTGGTTGTCCCCTGCCGCCTTATTTACATCCCTGGATGTGGATGTCAGTGCGAATGTTGATCCTCTTCTCATACCCACACACCCTGAATACTTTGCTTACGATTTCTCAGGCGTCTAACATTTATTGACTTGAAAAACTATACATACATTTGCAGCTCTTGAAAGATGCTATCAGTGAAGAAGGTGGCGAATAGTACCGATGTTTCAAATAATGCACGCTCGACGGTCAATGAAATGGCTAATAAAATACACGAATAAATTTTTATAATTGACTCGTTTTAATAGGGTTTGATGTAGTGTGGAATGCTGTATCTAGCAAGAAGAAGTTGAACTGATAGTATTATTCTATTATCAAGTTATTATTAAGATATATGATGATGTGCACATCAACTTTCGAGATTAACAACCCAAAACAGTATTTCGGATGCTTATCACAGTGGACATCATCAAATCGACTTGTAATCACCATCAAACGATTCACGGTAAAATTCTGAATCGAATGATATTTCACTTTTAGGAATCTAGGATATGGGTCGATTTGGTATCTTATCCACTTCTCTCCCTTCTGTAACTATTGAACTTGAAGCATAAGAAATCTGGAAACTTGCTCGATGTGTAACATATAAAATCATTTATATGGCGCGTTTTTGCTTTCTCTCATTAGTGTTTTAGATGTCAATTGAAATTGATTGATAAAAAGGTGTACATGTAATTCGTTGCCATTGACAACAGATAAAATTTCTTTCATTTTACTAAAATTTTCCTTAACAATAGTATTTGCTTACCTTGTCTGAATGAAAAGAGACTTTGAATGAGTTTCTAGTACTAACTAAAAAATCAACTCATTTCATTGAACCGAGGGGAAAGTATTTCATTGTTTTCATCGCAGTGTTAGAGGGATGCTTAAGGACTGATGATTAATAATTCCTCCAGAATTCCTCTACAGTTTCATCAATACTAAAATTTCAAAAAAAAAAAGATATCCATGATATTTTTATTTTCTCTAACACTCATTTTCATTAAGAACTTCGTAAATATGGATATGTCGAGAGGAAAACTATTCCAGAAAAAGCGTCACATTGACTTACGTGAATGGGGGAACTATGAAAGAATCAATGATCCATTTCCATTTCCCTAACGAGTTGTCACGGTGATGCTGATAGTTCCTTGACAGATCAAGAATTTCTATTTCACAGTTCTTGGACGTTGCTGGTTAGATTATTAAAGAAACGTTCTATGTGCTTGTCTATAAATTGTGATGGATATTCATTCAATAGAAGAATAATTCTAATTTTTTCAAGTTCATATCGGAGATCATTTCGATGGAAGCATATACGAGTGATTCGTAGAGCAGCTGCATATGGTATGTTGCTAATGATGCGAGGAGGGTATAATGGATGAAATGGGAGAGCAAACTGTTATGCTGCCAATTTGCGGAAGACATTTATTCGAAAGCTAGGAATATCTATCATTACTCTCACGTCTAAGTACTCAATCATCTTTCATCTTTGCCATACAATGCTCATGTTAGGGTCCTTCTTGGTTAGTTTTGTTAAAACTCTCTCTGTGTGTTTCGATGGTAGCTTGATGATTAGAAAAATATCACCCCGAAAGCAGGCATATAACATCCTTAGCCGGCGTTGCTGTTCTACGAAGTGGCTTTCTCCTTTTTATACATAAATATCCGCAAGTACTTGAGTATATGCTTATCATATCGCGGCTCGTACAACTTGCTTGTAAAATTTTGGTTGTAAACCTGGAGGTTGAAGAAAAAAAATTGAGTTGTCTAGAGCATGCAGAAAAAGCGCTTTTATTGTGTTAATGGATAGACCACGAACTTGTTTTTTATATCAAAATCTACCTAGAAATTCGTATACAGTCAGCACTGACTCTTTCTGAGGAATCATTGTATAAAGGTCGGTAAGGTCAGATGCTTACATATTCATGTATGATGTTGTTTTAAAATCCGTTACATGTAAGAAAAACATCGAGTTGGAGAATGTGAGTAAGGAGTATGCTTGTCAAATAGATGGCGAATATTTTGATTTAAAAAAGTAGGCAGATCTTGTAATGATGACTTCATCACAGTAAATATAGGTCTGAGTGGTTCTCCAATTGTATGATTCTTCGGATTGTAATATAGATGAGGTAATTTCGAGCCGGTGAACGAGTGCCTTAATTTTTCTATCATAGATTGAGGCATTTGCTTGCTTGAAACGAAGTTACGTAAAAATTTGTCTGTATTTACTATCATGTCTTTCACTAGTGATGTGCCTATTGCCATATAATCACTATTTTTTCCTTATATATTTCTCACTGTTGTATATGGATTCCCATTTGTCTGCATGAAAAAATTGAGATCTGCCGGTTTCTCTGAAGATGACTTTCTATTGTTCTTGAAATTTTCGAAAACATCTGATAAGTGCCCACGTGAAAATCTATCGGGTCTAAACGCGTTTCAAGACGTGTTGTGGATGTGTTTGAAAGAATGTACGAAAACAAAAGAAATATCTTGTTCTCGCAGATTCGTGTTGCGACAACATCACAACCACATGACGGTCAGCTCTATCCTAGAGGCACAGTACTGAACAAGTAACTTATTGACTTACAATATATTTGAAAAGTGCGATGATGAAAATTAGACCACGACAACTTATAATCGATGAACAAGTAACTTACGACTAAACCATATCTGCTCATTAGAATGTATTCTTGATTACGATATCTTTTCATTTCTAATTAAGAAAATTGATTTCCAGGTGAAACACAATAGGTTATGAAATTATATACAAGGGTCATTTTATAATGACATTTTTGTTTCTAAAAATTGAACTATACATGATGAACGACATCGAAATAATACGACATGTTGTATTCGAATTTATGCACCTTTTCATTTATTTTTTTCTACATAACTGATCAAAAATTAAACGAAACAGATTTTGAATAAACAGTTTTGACTTTCTCGAACATGAAACTACCCAGGTTGATCAAAACGGACTCGTTTACGGTCTGTTTGTCGACGGTAAACGATGTCAAAACGGTATCTTTACGGCAGTAAATAGGCCGTATTCGCCGGTAATGCCTGGCGCAGCAATACGGTACCGTAAACGGGACTGAATTTTCATGATTTACGGCTGTTTGCGCTCCGTACTCTCATGATAATACGGTTCGTATTACTGCGCCAGATATTACGGCAAAATTTCCCCCGTAAAATAGTCGTAAAGTAACCGTCAATGGCCGTATACGGACCGTACTGTTCGACCTGGGTAGCACAAGATTTAAAAATAAATTTCTCTATACTTAAGTAATAAAATCTGCAAGGTCAAAGAAATCCAAAAAGTTATCTAAAGAAATACTATTTTATTACTACATATTTATCTATAAAATGAGACGAAAAGCTAGACAGATGCCTTCTATCTTCAAAACGATTATCATAAATTTTAGAATTCAACTATTTGAAGAATTTTACAAAAACCATAAAAAGGCGAACCACATTTTAATTGTAAAACAATAAAACGATGAAGACGTATCAAGAAGCAATAGACTGGTAGCAAATAATCTAATCTTTGTTGCCAATTCGACGTCCGATATAACAATCAATAGCATCAAACAATGCATATAAATGCATCTTGTTTGACATACTCGTATAAGATAAAAATATGATATGTAGAAATTTGGGTGTGTGGGGTGGGTGCGGGTGTAGGTTTTTGTGGCTCTATGGCTTCCATTCATACACATTCATACAGACACAGCACGCGCACACCCTCAAGATATCTTCGTTGATAACCGATGAAGTGTTGGGAATTTATTTTTTTTACTACTGGCATAGAGTGTAATAAAATGCACTATTCAAAAATTGGGTTGGTTATCATTTACCACAAATAGAAATCCACAGACACATCTATACATAATATCCACACTTGTGGTGAGTAAAGCAAATATGACCCATTCTGGTGACCAAATAGGGATTTTTGATTTATGGATTTTTCAATTTAGGGATTTTTTTTATACAATATCTTGTTCAAGTCACAACCAAACAAGGTCCCAGTTAGAGGTTCATCAGTACCAGTATACTGGGTACTGGTAACACTGGTGACCAGAATCACCTCTCCGAGTTTCTGATAAGAAGATTACGTTTCGAAATGATTCTAATGAATATTGAATATGTATGATTCTGGTAACCACAATCAGCTCTAAGAGTTTCTGATAAGCGAAATTACTTTTGGAAATGATTCTGGTAACCAGAATCTGCACTAAAAATTTCTGACAAGCGAAATTACTTTTCGAAATGATTCTAATAGATATCGAATATGTATGATTCTGGTTACTAGAATCACCTTTCGAAACGTGATTCTATTTATCAGAAACTCTTAGAGCTGATTGTGGTTACCAGAATCATACATATTCAATATTCATTAGAATCATTTCGAAACGTAATTCTTCTTTTCAGAAACTCGGAGAGATGATTCTGGTCACCAGTGTTACCAGTACCCAGTATACTGGTACTGATGAACCCCTAACTGGGACCTTGTTCGGTTGTGACTTGAACAAGATATTGTATAAAAAAAATCCCTAAATTGAAAAATCCCTAAATCAAAAATCCCTATTTGGTCACCAGAATGGGTCATATTTTGTTTTATTCACCACAAGTGTGGATATGATGTATAGACGTGTCTGTGGATTTCTATTTGTGGTAAATGATAGTCATTCGTTCGACGTAAAGAAAATATCATCAACATATCTAAAGTGAGACATTATATGCATAGAATATTATTTTATGAACCATGTTAAATACCGCCCGTAGATTTCATTGGATACTTTTAGTCTGTGTACAAGTTGTTTCTCCCATTTCCACATGAAAATATTAGCTAGTGCTAAAGTAAATGCTCAGCCCATCGCACCACCAATGACTTGTCGATAGAATTTCTTCTCATAAACGAAAACGTTTTCTTTAATGACGATAAGAGCTAACTTTCGAATTATATCAAATGGAATATTTTGGAGCTTTTGATATTCTAATTGAAGGAGAAATTCAATTAGAATATCAAGTGATTCTTCTTGTGGTAACATCGTATATAAATCTGTAATATCAAACGTGCACAAATAAGTTTTAGGTTTGAGATACCCATTTGTTGTGTATGCTTCTAAACGATGAATCGAATCAACTCCATCAATAAATGTGGTTGAACGCGCATGTTTATCAAATATCGGTCGTATTAATTTATCCAAAAACTTTGAGATTCCTGTCGTTGGCATATTCATTGATGATACAATAGGCCTCAATGGTATTCCTGTCTAGTAAAATGCGTGTAAGAGAGATAAGTAAGAAAAATTAGAAATGAATTACCTTGTGAGGTTTTGGAATGAAATATAAATAAGCTAACTGAACTGTGTCTCGCTTCGGCATCATTTTATCTAGTTGCCATGACATTCAGTAAAAGAATAACTTTATCAAATACACTCCATAACTGATTAGAATCTAATTCAATATAAGCGCTAGTTTTTTGTCGATAAGCTTCTGCTTTCTTTTCATAATCAACGGAATTTCCAATATGAAAAATTCCATTTTTATCTGTCTCGCAAAGAATATAGTTTCCTTTCTTTAGTCTATGTTGAATCTACTTCATTAGTTTAAATTCTTTTCGTGCTCGATATATGTTTAGATATGATAATGGAGTTCCATATTGTTGACATAGACTTGTTTCCAATTGTTGAGAAAATTCTCTGATAATTGTTGCTGTACATGTTTTTCTTGATGTTTATAAGAATGAAGAGAATTTTAATTTGATCTGATATAGTTAGGTCCGTGAAATAGAAAACATTTCAGAACATGAATAGATAAGAATAAATTAGCAATTGAGATAATACTATAAAAGAAAGGTATCTGTGTACCACTTTTGGAAAGATAATCTAATTGGAGTCGATTCAATGATATTTTACGAGCGTCGACAATGACTTGTGGACGCTTGTGGATAAACATCGAATTCAAATATATATTGATTTCTGTTTGATACAAATCTTTATAATGTTGAAATTCTAGTTCATATTTTTTCAGCTGATCATTAAATTCTCGACGTTTCAATTCTTGCATAATTTTATTAGCTTCATTTCCAAATAAATTTTGATATGTAACTATTGGAATGTCATCAAATGTTTTTGGTAACGAATGACATGAGATTCGTTGTTCGAATATAGTCAAATCTTCGAAAATCTTT